CGACACTGGTCAGGCCGCAGCTAGAGTACTGTGTCCAGTTCTGAGCACCCCACTTCAAGAGGGATGTGGACAACATTGGGAGGGTCCAGAGGAGGGCCACCCGCATGATCCAGGGACAGCAGGGCAGACCCTACAATGAGAGGCTACGGGACCTGAACCTGTTCAGCCTTCACAAGAGAAGGCTAAGGGGGGACCTTGTGACCGTTTATAAACTCACTAGGGGGGGACCAGAAGGGTTTGGGGGAGACCTTGTTTCCCCTAGCGCCCCCTGGGATAACAAGGAATAACGGCCACAAGTTGTTGGAGAGTAGGTTTAGATTAGACATCCGTAGGAACTACTTCACAATTAAGGCCGCTAGGATCTGGAACCAACTTCCAAGCGAAGTGGTGCTGGCTCCTACCCTGGGGATCTTTAAGAAGCGGCTCGATACCTACCTGGCTGGGGTCACCTGAGCTCAGTTTCCCTCCTGCCCAGGCAGGGGGTCAGACTTGAAGATCTACAAGGTCCCTTCCGACCCTGATGCTATGATTTTGCCCAGCCCTGTGATAGGGGGACTGAAGCACGTATCTTAAGAAGGTGCTGACTGAGAGAGTGTCTTTTTTTTTTTTTTTTTAAATGAAAGGGCAAAGAGTCACAAACAAATATAGGTGCTTAAATTCAATAAAGCAGTTTGGGCATGCCCTCTGACTGTCTAAGAGTACTCGTCAAACCTAGATGCTTAAGGAGTGATGTGTGTCCCCCAAAGGCAACCTTGTCTTGGGCACATGGCTGAGCCAAACATTTCGCTATCTCCTAAAGTTACTTTATGATTTGCTAACCAGGCATCCTGGTATCAAAGTCGCCTAAGCCCCAGCTTGGCAGGTGTTCTGAGCTTACCTAATGAAAATACCATGTAGTCTAGCACTGCCATTCTCTCTTAAAGGTGGCAGGATTGTCAGCTTCTGCATCGCACAAGAGGTATTAGAATACCTCTTTAAAAGTAGAGGATCTGGCTTCTAGGCTTCTCTTGGCCTGAGCGGTTCAAAGGTGCAACTTTTTCTGCTGGAGGAGAGGGCTGTAGCTAGCAGGCTAGGCTACACTGGACTAGATCAGGGGAAACTCGAGTCCTGTTCAACCTGGGGGGAATGCTGCACCCAGCCCAGTCCAGCCTAGTGGTTAGGGAGCTCCCCTATATTTGATAAAGCTGTTCTTACTATGCTTTTGGCACTGTCTTTTTTTAAAAGTGGATGGGCAGGTGGTTGGATGAATGAAGGAAATGTAGAGGTTTCTTATACCTGGATGTAAATGGCAGTTGGGAAGTATGGTTGGAATTGCTTGGAGGGTTTGCTTGCACAAGGGTTTAGGTAGGAAAGTGGTAGTTGGATGTGTGGTGAGGGGGACTTTGAGTTCTCAGGTTTGTTTGTTTTTGTTTTTTGCCTTGAGCAGTGTTTGGGGAATATAAGCTATAGGTTATCTGTGGGTTATTTGTCTGTTGTAAGCTGCTCTGAGCCTTTTGGATGGGGTGGGATATAAATCTCAAAAATATGACTTAAGGTGTTAATTTTTAACTGTAGCTGTGATGGTCCAGGTCAGGAAATAGAGGTGAAGGGTTTTTCTGTGATTTGTTTTGTTTTTTATCTAACAAACTGTAGTTGGGGGGGGAGAGGGTTCAACAAGCTTTTGGGCACAAACTTTATTTTGTTTGTGCCTGAAAAATTGTTGAACCTCCCCTCTGCACCCCCCACTCCACTATGCAGTTTGTCCAGTAGAAGAGAGAACAGTAAAAACCCTTGCCTCTTTGTTGGTTTGAACTATAACTCTTCTTGCTATACTCCCGGTCTTGTTTTCTCTACAATTTGCAAGCCTATGTAAAATCATTGTTATAGACTCGGTTGTAGCTAACCAAATACAGTAATCTTGTAAAGGAACAGTCTGTGAACATTACGCTATCTTAGGCGTTCCTTAATTGCAAAATGCACAATAAACTCTTGAAATAATATCATTAGATGAATTATGAGACTGAAGCAGCCTGTAGGCAACGTTTCCCTAATGTAGTGTCTAAACGGGACTCTTCAAAGTTACTTCCTAAGAGCAGTACCTTCAGAAATAGTGAGCATCCAAGATTATAATTCTTGGAATAAACTTAACTTTCTACCAGAAAGAGAAGGGTTAGAAAGTTGGTAAGGAATCTTGAGGGTGAGACCACGGATGGTCATTCATTGGTGGTGGCTTTCTGTTTATTTGCTTGCTTGCTTATTTAAACAACGTCCTGTCCCCCTGGTTGAGTGAGTGAGGATTGACAAATGACTCCTCCTGATCTTGGGCTGGGGGCTGACTGGCTGGGCAGCAGCTCTGCAGAGACAGACTAGGGATTACAGTGGCCAATATGCTGAGTATGAGCCAACAGTGTGTCCTTCTTTCAAAGAAGGCTAATGGCATACTGGGCTGTGTTGGTAGGACTGTTGCCATTAGGTCAGGGGAGGTGATTATTTCCCTCTATACAGCACTGGTGAGGCCACATCTGGAATACTATGTCCAGTTTTGGGGCCCCCGCTACAGAAAGGATGTGGACAAACTGGAGAGAGTCCAACAGAGGGCAACAAAAATGGCGAGGGGGCTGGGGGACATGACTTCTGAGGAGAGGCTGAGGGAACTGGGCTTATTTGGTCTGGAGAAAAGAATATTGAGGTGGGATTTAATAGCAGCCTTCAGGTACCTGGAGGGTGTTTCCAAACAGGATGGAACTAGACTGTTCTCAGTGATGGCAGATGACAGAACAAGGAGCAATGGTCTCAAGTTACAGCAAGAGATGTTTAGGTTGAATACGAAGAAACACTTTCCCTAGGAAGGTAGTAAAGCACTGAAACAGGATACCCAGAGGTTGTGGACTCTCCATACTTTGGGGGGTTTTAAGACCTGGTTAGACAAAGCCTTGTCTGGGATGGTTCTGCTTTGAGCAAGGACTTGGACTAGATGACCTCCTGAAGTCCCTTCAAAACCTAATTTTCTATGATTTCCTATGATCTATAAATGCACCCACTTTAAGACATGCAAAATAATATTCTTTTATCACAGGAATCTTGGGTATAAAAACCTAATTACTTTGTGCTTCTTAAATTATGGACTGTTTAACTTGCATATGTAAAAGGGGTAGGGTAAAAAGGTCTGTGCACTGGTAGCATAAAATCCCTAATGAACTTTTTAAAATTGCCAGCAGCTTTTTTCTTGTTTTGCTATAGCACAACAGAGGTGAGGGTGCTATCCTAATAAGTAGTGTACAAACACAAATGTAATATAATCCTATGGCCTAAAAACAATCCAAAGGTAGGGAGGAAAGGCCTGCAACTGAAGTGCATGCAGAATGTATACCTTGCCAAAGGTCACACGGTCCTTCCAGTACTTTGAATTCAGCTCGGTTTTGATCCAGGTACTATAGTTGCAAAGCCACCTGTCTGCTTCCTCTGTGCCCTTTTGAAATATTTCAGTGGTGTTTTTGCAATCTAATTCTTACCCAAATGCTAGCTTTGACACTTTGGGAGCCGTACAACTCTTGAAGTCTCCCTTGTCCCTAGGATCAAGCCTCCGGAATGTTCCTAGTCAGCAGCAGTGTGAATCTAAAAGTGCAGCTTTCTAGTCTACAAAACTGGAGCTTTCAAGTTTTTTGAGTGTGCATATGGGGGCTGTGGGGTAGACATGAGCATACTCGTGTCCTCAAGTATTGGAGCTTTTATTGCATAACGCACGTGGCTTCAGCATTCTTTCTCATCTTCTATAACTTTATACTAGGCAAAATGTAAAGCATATGCTTTACAACAAAATCAGAACGGTCTACCATCAACTTGTGGAAACAACTCTTCATGCTGTAAATCTACTGCATTTTTCTTAAAAGCCTATTGTCAATCTTGTGGTAGGAGGCAAGAGCTGGTGACAGGCATTTATGAATGTCACTGTCAGTTGTGAGTTTGAAACAGACATTGTTGCCTATTGCCCTTTTGTGCAGTGGGGTGATTATGTACTCCCCTGCCATTGGCCTGCCCTCCCAGCCCAAGAGCAGTGCAGATTTTTGTCTGCTAGTTACCTTTAGCCTAGTGGGCAGGAGCTGTAGGACTCAGCATGTGACTAATGTCCTGAGAGACCTTGGCTATAGAGGGGGCACCAGCTGAGCTGACAGCAACAGTTTTTTTGTTTTTCCCCCCCCCCCCCCCCCCCAGTCTGTTCTTGCTGTAATATGTTCACGTCAGTCAGCTTTTTGCAGGCACAGGTGGAGAGCTTGCCCTCAAGTGCTCTTTCTTCCGTATATAAGTAACAGACCAAATATGCTCCTTATCCATGTTTATGTTGCCATGTACCTCTACACTAAAGTGAAAAATTAAAGAGGTTTTACCCTGCTCTATGAACTGGAATAAACTAGTGTCATGCTGGGGCATGGAGATGCATATAACAGCTATCAGTACTGGTAATTCAGACACTGATTCACTACACTGAGCTTCCTACGCACTATTGGAAAAAAGCTTATCTTGCTGGAACTGTAAAGTGGAAAATGTTGCAGTGGTGACAGTCATAGAACAGAGGTATTCTAACACACCACTGCCAATGGCATAATATCTAAGCAAAGAGGTGAATACTTTGCTAATTTCCCTCAGGTTTCAATTCCTAATGTTGAAACTATCTTGTGACAGTCATGCCAAAACTTCTATAGGGTCAAAGGCAGAACTTCTTTTCTGTGAGAGGTAGAGAATTGGTTTTCTTCCTTCCCCCCCCCCCCCCCCCAAGCTCTTTAGAAGCACTTGTTAGATGTTCTAAAACTTAAAGAAGTTAATCATATGTCTTGTCACCAGAAACTGTCTTTGGAGAATTGCTTATCTCCAGTTATTTAGGAGAATAATCACCTTTTTATCTTTATCTGCACACTTGAAGGACCCAGTGTGTATTCCTGTCTTGGGGATGGTGGGGAAAGGAAGGAGCAAATGGAAAGGGAATTTAATGCATTCATGTAAGTGACCTTTTCTTGTGCCAACAGAGTCCAACCTAAGGAATAACTGAATCAAATTGCCATGCAGGCACACGAATTGTTTAGACATCTACGAATGCCAGAACTTGGTGATGTCAGACAGTATGTACGCACTCTTCCAACAAATACGCTCATGGGATTTGGTGCTTTTGCAGCTCTCACAACTTATTGGTACGCCACAAGACCCAAAGCTTTGAAACCACCATGTGATCTAGCAATGCAGTCTGTGGAAATAGAGGTAAGTGTGACTTGTAGCACACCCAGATACATTTCCAAGTTTGGGAGGCATATAGGATCTCTGATTTTAATATTGAGAAGCTTGCTGTTTTCCTGCATGTCAGGTGAAGGAAGAAAAAGCTTCTATAAAGCTGTACATGCAAATAGGGTCCCCTGTGTTTCTTTTCTCTCCTGCCCCCAAGTCTCTGGAATATTTTTCCACCCATCAATTAATGTAATTTCAAGAACTTTTAATTAACAGTGGGGATATAACTTGGATTGAGGGCCAGGCTTTTGGTTTGACTAGTGCAAAACTGTCCAGGTCTGAACAGACAAACTATTGCTCCTAGTCAGTTATAGTAGCTTTCCCTATTTTTTGTGATATTCCTATATGGATATAGACTCAAACACCTGTTCTGATGCTTAGAACTTGGACTTCATTTTTGAAGTGAACCACTTATGGCAACTTGATCCTTTTTAAATGTCAGGAATACAATGTGTAATTTGGGGTTCTTGGTAAAACTTATGTTAGCCTCAGTTCTAAAAAGTCGCTAGCACATCTAACTCTAGAGTTTCTCAATTGGATGAGGAAGCTACTTAACTTTATCCTCTGCGTGTGATTTATTGGGTGGTAGTACAGGGATCCTCATGAAGTGTTGTATTTTTAGTGATGTCCAGATCACTTTACTACTTCAGTAGTATAAAACAAGAATACCAGGAACTCTCAATTTTTTTATTTTATTTTTTTGATTTATAGGGTAGTTGCCAGGGTTATGAAAAATTTAAGGCATCTTTTGGGGAAAGGCTGGTGAAGTATTATATTGGAAGCAGTTTCTCTTCCTTTTGCATTTCTCCTTCACTGAGTGTTGAATCCTAGCCTTTGCAAAGAGAAAGGAGTTCATGATGGGGAGGCTTTGGGCCACCTCCAGTAGCTAAGAAGCAATTGCTGTCCAGTTACAATGCACTAAATACCAAGTATTCCATTCTAATAATAGTCTATATGGGTAGATCCATAACTACAAACTAATGGGATAAAGCTGATAAAAATGCATTTTTGGAAAAAGTAGACCATTACAAGATGCAGTGTTAACAAGCAATCGGCCCTTGACAGGTACCTTGTCTAGAACGTATATGCATATTAAAATGGGTGACTGCCTTTTTCATTGTAAAGGAGCAACACGGGCAACTCCCAGGAGGAAAGATAGGTATTTGTTAAGCTAGTAACACATTTCTTAGAGGCAAACTATTTTGTGGCAGGTATTATCTATTACACTAATAGTAAAGACTGCATTTTATTTATAATCACAGTTCAGCAGCTTGCAAACTAACTTTGTAAAGCTGTCTTGATGATAGCACTTTGTCTGTTATGACAGCAGCCACTAAAATAAGCTTGGAATCTAACACCATGGTGTGGAGTATTGCCTTGTAGCAAGATTTGTCTGGAAACTGAAAACCCAAGGCTTCAAAGTCTGTAGGACTAAGTGAATGCCTGAATTGAAGATGGTGTTAAACATTCTGACCTACTGTGGTCTTTGAGCTCTTTGTAACAGCAGATTTACTCTATTTGGTTTTTATTTTTCTGTAGTTAAAAACAAAAAGTTGGCACTTGGGCTCAAGGCACCTAGATGGAGACAGGGAAGTAGGGGAAAGGTGAGAAGCATTGGCCTAGACAAACTGGTAAAACTGCTGCTTGAGAGAGTTCTGGATCTTGACTTGTTCCTGTTCCTTTGGCCTAAAAGCACCCACTTTGGTGGTACTTTGGTATTTTAATAAAGCAAATCTTAAATGTTTTAGTTAACATTTGGCCAGCTTGTCTTTGTTGGCAAACTGTTTGTTTGTCAGGCAAACTTAATTGGCTTATTTCAACTGATTCTAAAGCTGGCATATGATATCATAATACTATAACACTTTTAACTCTTTAGTAAGTTGGAATTCATAGCAAACCAATCGCCAAAAAATTTAAGATTGCAATATTTGGCCATTTGCTTTCTCTTTGTTGGAATGGCTAATAATGAAACATTAATTTATATACAAATAATTGGTAGTGTATTGTTATGCTTGGTTTAAGAAAATTGTTTTTACCAGAGTTTAAAGTCTAATTGAGTACATAACTGTTGTTCAGGATTATAGTAGAAGCAACTTCTTGGTTTGTAGCACTTCATTCTTGGTTCTCCAGAAAATAGGGACTACGTCTTTGCAGTAAAGCCATAGCATACTTGGGATTTAAAGCCTTTTTAAAACTAGCATTTTCATAGTGATAATAGTGCTTATTAACAGCACTCTGAATCTTTGCTGGGAAGAAGTTTTGGATTAGCAGTCCTTCCCAGACTGAACTGCTCAGTTACATGCAGATTAAGTTGCTTAAAATTTTATATAGCTAGTTTGAAAAACTTTTAGGCTATAACATGTCTTTGTACTCTGCCAGTGTCTCCGTCTTAACCAAAAATGGTTATAATCATTGTTTTGTCTCTCTTCCTTCCCCCCCTCCGCCTCATAAAGTCTTCATTTTAAGGAAGAAAATACTCACAGGAGCAAAAGAATTTCTTTTACTTCAGCCTTATTGATGTGAAGTTGAGTGGCATCTTGCACTGTGCCTTATTCCCTATACCCAGATACTGAGACCACTTGGTTTTAGTTCAGTACTATAGTTTCATTTTAAACTCAGGGTATCAGTCAGTGCTTTATGGCTTCACATGTGGGATGTCTACTTGGGCTGTAAGGCTTCCACTGAATGTTCTTGCACTTGGCCTTTCTGAATTACTACAACAGGAAAAATTAAAAGTCATGTAAGACTCTTCTTTTTTTGCCACCTTCGATATTTTTCTAGCAATTATTTTAATCTAAGAAATTGCTGCTTTTAATATGAGATAAAATAGTCCCTGCCCTAAATAAACTCTGACAACAAACTTGAGTCAAGCAAGCTAAACTTGGCTTGTATAGTGGCTGAAAATTCTTCAACAGATTTAATTTTAGAGGATCTGTTCCTTTCTTTTCTCTATTTCAGTTCACATCCAGTTTAACTTCCATAATGAAAAAAATCTGCAGTACCCAAACAGAAACTGCATAACTGTCTTCAGAATTAGTAAAGAGTTTCTTGATCTCTTAAGAACATGACTTTAGCATAACTCTATGCTAGATATATATTTAAAAATTAATTGAATACATGGTGTAAAAACCATAAATAGCTCTTCTGCAGATGAATTGACAGAGTTCTCATTCTGGCCTTCACCTGAAGAAAAGCACTGCTGGATGGGATGCTGTGCCAAAGACCATTCCATATGTAATCGGATAATAAGATCTTGTCTAAGGCTAGCACTTATTCCTCTGTACTCTGAAATGAAACTGAACCCAGTAACTTAATCACTTGGTTATTGCGGTAAAAATGAGCAAACTAATCCAGGCCAGCTTTGCTCTGGTTCTAGTCACGGTAAATGCCTTGTTTCCATGTCCCCGTCCCCGTCCCCCTCCCCCTGGGGAAACAACTTCCTGAGGGAAATTGACACCTTGGAATCACTGGCCAGCTGTGAAACTGTAGCAGTGTGAAATTTGGCTGTAACCTACTGCTTGTAGGAAGAAATGATGATGAACAATAGAGGTAGTTCTTGACATTTCAGTATTGGATTCCACTCTCCCCTCCTCCCTCCCCACACTATTAAATAATAATTTGAGGAATTCACTACTTGATGGTCCAAGGTGCACATTTTGCTAAGTGCATAAATCTGTTTCACAAAGAAAATGCAGTCAGTTTGCTTATCCAGTTGGTTGGCCTACATCCTTGTTTGGTACACCTTGACACTAAAGTGTTTCATGTAAACTTACAGGGGTTTAGGTTGTAGCCGTGTTGGTCTAAGGATATAGGCAGACAAGGTCCCTTGGGTGAATTTGGTATCTTTTATTAGACCAACCCAAATGGTTGGAGAATAGTTATTAAGCAAGCTTTCGGGTTCAAAAACCCTTCGTCAGGCTCAGGAAGCTGCAGCAGTTGGTGTGTGCTCTTCCTGGATGGAATGAAAAGTAAAGAAGCCAGGGGCTGGGCTGGGCTGGGCTGGGCTGGGGAGTCAGTTGCCAGGCAGATTATAATGTATCAAAAATCCAATGTCTATGTTTAGTCCCTGATCTCTAGTATCCAGCAGGTTGATGAAATGGAGCTCATAGGCTCGTCTCTGGGATGTGTTGTGTAAATTTCCCTTGAGGATCAGGACTGAGAGATTGGAGAGAGTGGCCCTCCTGTGAGAAATGTGCCCCCACCGGTAATTGGGTGTTTCTGTCTTTGATGGATTTCCGGTGTGCATTCATTCTGGTGCGCAGTTGTTGTCTGGTCTCTCCTACATATCTTCTCTCATGTAAACTTAAGCCTCTGCAAGCTGCCTTGAGACTATTGGATTGACTTGCTGAATCTAGTTTGGCAGTGGACAAACTAGAATATAAAATGGAGTGACATAGTGACAAGCAAGCAGTACAATCTAGAAATACTGGTATCCTGAATAGACAGTGGTCTGTTAATTCAGTTCCACTGTTAGGTTGACACAGTAGCTTTGACTAGGTGTGAACCTCCATAAAGCTACCTCCCTCTTGTTCCTTCCACAAACTGCAGTCCTATATTTGAAGTTGGCAGCTGATAATGAGACGCTTGAAATGGAATACAGTTCTACAGTATACCTCTTTCTCTAGTAGCATGCTTGTAACTCCCACAGGATAAGCATAAGATTAAACAAATGCAGGTATGTTCTGGAGCTTGCCCTATGAAATAATGTGTAGAGGTGAAAAGTCACTAACTTGGTTAAATGTTAGGGGTGTGTGAAATGAGCCATATTCTATCTGGATCTGGTGTGAATCGGGGACAGTGACTTGATTTTTTTTTTTTTTTTTTTTTTATCGCTGTCCCTGATTTTCTTTTAGCCAAAACCAAATCTGAAGATTCAATGCATACCTTGAGGTACCAGGCATGGCTCGTGCACACTGAGATGGTGGGGCAGATGGAGTATCCTACAGGAGTGTGAGGGAGCCCCCCCATGTGCCTGGCATCAGACCCAGAAGAGGACCAGCAGTAGTTCTGGTTCACTTTCGGGTCCACTGCCATGCACACTGGGGGAGCCCCTGCGACCCCTGGCTTGGCAATAGGCTTGGGAGGGACCCTGGGTGCCCCCTCAGACCCAGGAGGCACCAGTCACTGAGCCAGGAAGGTGTGCTGCCCTGGCAACCCGCGGCCCAGGAGGCACCAGTTGCTGATCTGGGCCCCCCCCCCCATGTGCTCCCTGGCAGACCTGGAAGTGCTTCTGGTCCACTTCTGGGTCTGCTGCTGAGCGCTCTGGGGACCGCCTCATGCTCCCATGGGATACTTCATCCACCCCACCATCTCAGCATTTGCAAGCCACCTGGTACCTTGAGGTGTATAGAAAAAACATTTAAAGCTGTGTCTATTGTCGAGTCTTTCTGAATCTATTTGGAGGGTTCTGATTTGATTCAGAGAGCTTAAAGGGTCTCCTGATTCAATTCGGATTCGGAGATTTTGGCCACCAAATTGGGATGAATCTCCGACAAATCAAATTGGTGACTGAAGCGTCGCACAGCCCTGTTAAATATATCATCCAAAGAGCCTGCAGCAGGCTCTTTTTTTTACCAAACAGTTGTGTGCAGTATGTAGCTAAACCTTGCAGCCCATCCCAACCACAGTTGGTGCTGTGTGGCAGCGTTGGCCTTATGGCTGCAGCAATAGCCATGGCTGGAAAGAGAACCACTGAAATTATTTGCTGCTTTGACTATCAGTTAAGTGAATCTATTAGTGTTGCTAAGGTATTTGGCTGCTTGCTCCTTATTGCAAGGGAAGCACCTGCTGTGCCTGCACAAACTAGTGGTTTTTAGGCTTAATGTGGCTGTAAGTTATTTTTAACGTGTTGGTCGGTGGAAGATGGCTAATGGCATGCACTGTCTGTGTGATTTTGACTGCTCTCTTGGCATCTTAAGCATCTCTGATTTGCCTAGCACTCTTAATATTAAAGAGGGTCCCATTTTAAAATAATTGCATGTGCAGGGTTATATGTAAATAAATAAATTTAAAAAATAGTTGATGGGGAAGTGTGTGTGTGTGTGTGTGTGTGTGTGTGTGTGTGTGTGTGTGTGTGTGTGCACCCCCCCCCCCCCCAAATCAACTATTTTTTTTTTAAGTAACTTGCATACCTAGATAAGGAGTAGCTATCATCCAGTGCTAAATTAAGAATAGCACTGACTATTACCTATTTGATTGGAAAGAACCTAACATGTGAGAACTTCCTTGTACATCTAACTCACGAGCTATGTAAATCTGCACTGATTCAGTTTTTAAAACTCTGCTTAGCGAGAGAGCCTGGGTGACTTGATCTTAAACAGTGATGAAGTCTTATGTAATATCATAGGTAAGACCTTATGTCTGGGTGACTAAAAACTTTGCTAACAACTCTCTCTAGTTCAGTGGCTTTTTTTTTTTTTTTTCCCCATTTGTGGACCCCTACAATTTCTTTTTAATGGAAGTACAGACCCGTTTGAATTGTAAGTGTGGGTATTCATATACTTTTGATCATAGTAATGTTTCACAGACCCCTTATGAATAGTCTGCAGACCCCCAGGGGTCTATGGACAACAGGTTGAAAAACCTGTTTCATAGTTTCATAGTTTTAGGGTCGGAAAGGACCTAATAGATCTTCTAGCCCGACCCCCCGCCAGGGCAGGAGAAAAACAAAAGAACCCTAAAAAACAAAAATGGGACTCATTTGAGTCCAGCCAGGTAGGTATCCAGCCTATTCTTAAAGATCCCCAGGGTAGGGGCCAGCACCACCTCCCTTGGAAGTTGGTTCCAGCTCCTAGCCGCCCTAACTGTGAAGTAGTTTTTTCGGATGTCCAATCTGTACCTCCTCTCCATCAACTTGTGCCCATTACTCCTTGTTATGCCAGCGGGGGCTAGGGGAAACAGCGTCTCCCCCAAACCCTTCTGGTTCCCCCTAGTGAGTTTATAGACGGTCACCAGGTCCCCCCTCAGCCTTCTCTTGTTAATCTGCTCTGCAGGTTCCGTTAGCCTTCCTGGTATCAGATGGCAGCAGTGCATAGGGCAGCCCATGGTCAGCCTGTAACCCAATATCAAGACTGTGATGGAGGAATGTTCACGACAAGGTCCTGTTAGCCCTGCCAACCATGACCTCGCATTGTCGGCCCATGTTCATCTTGGAGTCAATAATGACACCAAGATCCCTTTCCGCCTCCGTGCTCTCAAGTAGGGAGTTCCCCATCGTATAAGTGTGCTGCTGGTTCCTACTACCCAAGTGCAGCACCCTGCACTTGTCCGTATTGAAACACATCCTGTTCCTGTTTGCCCACCCCTGTAACCTATCCAGATCCTTCTGCAATCTCTCTCTCCCTGCTAGTGTGCTCACCTCCCCCCAAATTTTGGTGTCATCAGCAAATTTAAACAGGTTGCTTTCCACCCCAACATCAACTGTTCTAGCTGAACTGTCTGATATTGGGTGAACAAGTAATAGTGACAACACTGCCCTCATGGCAACTTGCATAACTAAGCAGTGAAACTTTCTTGTGGTGTATTTCATAGAGTCATAGAAAATTAGGGTTGGAAGGGACATTAGGACATCATCTAGTTCAACCTCCTGCTCAAAGCAGGACCATCCCCAATTATATCATCCTAGCTAGGGCTTTGCCAAGCTGGGCCTTAAAAGCCTTCAAGGATGGAGATTCCACCACCTTTCTAACCTGTTCCAACACCACACTCCTGGTGAGACCTAATATCCAACCTAAACTTCACTTGCTGCAACTTGAGATCATTGCTTCTTGTCTTCTCACCTGCCACACTAAGAACAGTCTAGCTCCATGCTCTTCTGAACCACCCTTCAGGTAGCTGAAAGCTGCTATCTCGGCCCCTCTCAGTCTCTTCTTTTCTATACCGCATAAGTCTAGTTTCCTTGGCCTCTCCGCATACATCACATGCCCCTACCCCATAACCACTTTCATTGCTCTCCACTGGACTCGCTCCAACTTGTCCACATCCTGTCTGTAGTGGGGGACCCAAAAACTGACCACAGTACTCCAGATGTGACCTCACCAGTGCAGAATAGAGAGGAATAATTACTTCCCTTGACTTGTTGGCAACACTCCTACTAATGCAGCCCAGCATGCTATTGGCCACCTTGGCAGTAAGGGTACACTAAGCACACTTCATCTTATTGTCCACTGTAACCCCCTGGTCCTGTTCTGCAGAACTGCTGCTTAGCCAGTTAGTCCCAAGCTTTTCGCAGTGCATGGGATTCTATTGTTCCAAGTGCAGGACTTTGCACTTTGTCCTTGTTGAACCTCCATGTGATTTCTTTTGGCCCAATCCTCCAATTTGTCTAGGTCACACTGAATCCTAGCCCTACCCTCCAGTGTATCTACTACACCCCCACCTGGGTTGGTGTCATCTGCAGACTTGCTTAGTGTGTACTCTACGCCATCTTCCAGATAGTTAATGAAGACATTGAACACAACTGGTCCTGGGGCCAGTTTAACTTGGTGCATTTCAACTTTTATAAGCATGCACCTCTGCCTGTCTTGGACAACTAGACCAAGAGGCACTCCTTTTGAATGCCTTGTATAGGAGTGATGAAGTGCATTAAGGAACTATGTCTGGTGTTCAAATAGACCTTTTTTATGGATAACTCCTTTGGAATATGTTTTAGGATCTCCTAAAATCTAACTTGAACTTAATTTTTTTACTTTATTTCTTAAAACCTTTTTTGCTATGCTGAGTCTAACTTACGAAAGCAAAGAGATTTAAAATCTGAAAGGTTATGATATTAACTTTCCTCATATATGTCAGAAGGGGGAGGGGAGGACAAAGACCAAGCTGGGTAGAGTTCCAATACATTACATAGATCAAAAACACCCTATTTAAAACTCTCCAACCTATAGAGAAAGTAAAAATGGCAAACTTTTTTACCCTGTCTTTGCTACCTCCAAATTCTGAGTAGAGAATTTGGCATGAGGATGCTAAGCAGAGTGAAGGACAAATTCTGGTCCTCTGCTACTATCTAAATTCTGAATTGGGACTCCAGTGAACAGGCCCCTCTGAACTTCATAACTCTTGAGAGAATTGTTTTTGTCTCGGTCTAACTACCAGTGCTTTCACCAAACGCACACGTGCCTCCCCAGCTTAGTTGGAAAGTCAGTCAGTTTTTCTTTCTCTTCTGTAGGGTGGTGAGCGTGCTCGACGATCAGCACTGCTTAATAGTGATGAGCCATTGATATACTACTATGATGATGTGAGAACAGTTTGTGATATCTTCCAAAGAGGCATGCAGGTGTCAAGTAAGTTCTCCCTTGGGGCCTTATTACATATTTTAATTTTAGGCAGCTCCTGGAACTCCTTGACCCCTGAACTGCCCACATATTATCACTAGAATCTAGCTTTAAGCACACTTTAGGCAGCTTAAGCCTGCCCTGGAGTTTCATGATTATATCTCTGATCCTTGTTACCCATCTTGCATTCCATTAATGTATAGCCACTCCCAACAGATGAGCTACCTAATTTGCAGTGATGCAGTACCCTTTTTCCCCCACCCTGCTGTTCTTTGTGGACCAGCTTTCTACTCCCTGAACTCTATTGCCCAGGGGACAGTTCTGGCATGGCCAACTCCTCCACCTCTTCCTGCTCTTGGTGTGACCTTCCCACCCCCAGGGCTGCAACCCTATGCAAACAGCCTAAGAGCACATGCCAGTTAGCCAAGTGGCATGGCAGAGAGCCCCAAAAATGGGGGGGGGGGGTGCCCATGAACTAGGCCTTCCTTCCCAGGGCAGAGGCGGTAGCTTCTCCAAAAGCATCTTTCCACACTGCTCCTACTTCCCAGCCATCCTAGGAAGCATGACCAGCACCCCCTACACCCCAATCCCAAATTACTAAAACATGAGACCTCCTTTAATTTACTTCCTCTCTTTTATTTCTCTTTAAATTATTTTTCTTTATGACTCTTACCCTTCACTAGCTGGCTGTCTTCACTTCACCACCCTACCTGTACCTCCACTTCCTTTCTACCTCTTACTTCATTACCCCCATCTCATTAATTCTGTCTTCCAGCTTCTTGTTCCTGTCTCCTTCTCACCCCTACCTAGAGCAGAGATAGAAGCCTGTCCTGGCTCACCAGCCCTTGCAGCTGTAGATCCTAGTCGGGCCCCCACTTGCCAATGGCAAGGCAGAGGTTTGCAGGTCAGGGACAGTCAGAGAAGGTTTTTAGCCTTAAGTTGTGGCTGCTCCAAACTTAAGCTAGCCTAACACTGATCAACATTTGAGCAGATCCAAACTGCAATGTGTAACAGGGCCCTTAGTGTCAAAAGTTTGACTATTGGGGTCTCTTGACAAGGCTTAACAGATAATACAAGGTAGCATTGTTCTGAGATACCCAAGCTAGCTTGGGTATCGTAGCATAATACTGCCTTTGTACTAGAGTTTAGGCCTGTGCGAAGCAGCAAGTATTCACTTCGGATTTGGATTCAGACAATTTGGAGGGACAGTGATTCAATTTGGAGATTTGAATTGCTGTCCCAGTTCAATTCAGCTGAATTGGATTTGGCCATAAATTAAACAGGTAGCAATCCTCACCACACTGGACACTGCCGCCAGCTGGTAAATCTGTGGTAGGCAGAGGTGGGGTGGGAGGGATTGGGGCTGGGCCTGGGACAAGCTGCCCAGCCGGGGTGGGGATGTGGGATGCAGGCATGGTAGCGCTGGGAGCGGGGGCTGTGCCATACTGCTGCTTGCCTCCTTCTGCCTGGAGTGAGCAGCAGCAGGGCACAGCCCCCACTGCGCCTGCATCCCATGTCCCATTGCTGTGCCCCAGCTGGGCAGCTTGTCTCTGTCCCTGTCCCTCCCTCCACCCACCACAACAGACTTGCCATCTGGAGGCAGCTGTGTCCAGCGTGGTGAGGGCTGCTGCCTGTCTAGTCTATGGCCAAATCTTTTCCAAATTGATTCGGATTAAGCTTTTTAATTGGTCTCCCAATTCTGTTCAGATTTAATGCAGGCTCAGCTTCCTGGACGTTTATGCACATCTGCATGAAATAATACTGGGGCTTCAGGTCCAACTGGAATAGGACCTGGAATATTTTTTTGAATTACACTACCGAAGCTTCGCACAGCCCTGCTAGAGTCCCTACAACATTTAAGCTAGTGTGTTCATGACTAGCTTGGGATATCTCAGTATAGCACTTGCAGATGCTTAACCCCTTTAAGACAAAGAGCTAGCATAAGAGGGTAGAGAGTACATTAGGACCTTTGAAGACAAATCTGGCCATGGTCCATGTAGGACAGGACTGTGTGAGAGTGAAGTCCAGACTGGAGAGCACCTTGGTCCTTAGTCTACACCAGGGGTGGGCAGTTATTTGGCCTGGAGGGCCACTTCAGGAGTTGTGGTGAGCTGTTGCAGATCTGGCAGTGGTAGTGACAGGCAGAGGCAACCATAAGGAGCCACTGCCACGGGCTGCCAGGAAGTTGAGCCCAGCTGTCATACTGCCCTTGCCCTACCACATGCCTCAGGGTGGTGGGACTAGTTGCACACTTCCTAGCCAAACCTGGTGTAACTATGTGCTTCTATCCATTTAGATAATGGCCCCTGTCTTGGTGTTAGGAAACCAAATCAACCATATGAGTGGATCTCTTATAAAGAGGTAAGGAACTATTCTAGTTCAAAGATTTGCTATTACTGTTGTTATGACTACAAGTTGTATGTATTTGTAAAGCTCTGCCACTGTCTGAAGTAACATCAGTTATGCTTCTGTTAAAGAGATATCACTTGTTATATTTCTTTAACAGAAGTGTAACTAAACTTGATATGGCTGAGAGCTGCGTGGCACAGAGCTATTGAGATGTATACGCTCCAGAGTTGATCTGCACATACAACCCCTGCTTAGTTTCTTATATTTCTTTCATTAGGAGCTACGTTTTGTACTACCCGAGTTGCCTGTGGCTCAAACCATAGTTTGGTTACCCTGGCACCCTAGTCTAGCAAGACTCCAGTGTCTGGTCCAAGAGTGCAGTCTCTATAGAGGAAATGGTGATAGGAGAACAGCACTTACGAGAGGTGTGCATTTTAGAAGTAAATCTAAACAAAATGCCCAGAAGATGTTCTAGTATTTCAAATGGCTTGGCAACCCTTTGGTTCCTATTGTTGCAAACAGTTAATCTTTAAGATGCTGTCTGTGTGTTCAACATTGGAGCTCTGCCCATCAAAATAGGTGGGCCTTAAGTTGCTGCTTGCACAGTCTCTACAAACAAGTATCCAGGTTCACACAAGGTTCAGATGCAAACTGTATTTGTTATGCTTCAGAAAGCACAAATGAACTGATTTAGGTGTGCTTGTGACCACTACTGTAAAACCAACTACATCTATAAAATTATAGACTTGTCCTAACAGAGTCTCAGCAGCAACTGTTGGACTTCTCGTCAATGAAGGTATTGACTGACTTTATAGATTCATAGATTTATGGATGTTAGGGTGGGAAGGGACCTCAATAGATCATCAAGTCCGACCCCCTGCATAGGCAGGAAAGAGGGCTGGGGCTAGATGACCCCAGCTAGATGCATATCCAACCTCCTCTTGAAGACCCCCAGGGAAGGGGAGAGCACCCTTGGGAGTCTGTTCCAGACCTTGGCCACTCTAACTGTGAAGAAGTTCTTCCTAAAGTCCAGTTTAAACTTGCTGTAACTCTGATCTAATGTATACTGCTAGGCTCTCTAGATGATATGGTAACATTCTGAAATTGGAAGAATTTTCATGTCATTAAGAAAAAGCTTCTGTTGTGAGAGCCCAGTAAAAATTTCTCAGCAACTTGAGAGTAGGGAATGACTTGGCCATTATGTACAAGAAACGTTCTGAGCTTACATTAGAAGAGCATTATTGTAGATGTAATGGGCAATGTCTAGAAGCACCTCTTGTACCCCTACTCTGTTTTACTGCTTTCTTTGCAAGCAAGCCACTTTCTTGCAAACACTGCAGAGAAACTTGTACAGTTTCATAACTGTATGAGGAATAGATGATATGCAGTCTGGGTCAGATCAATCGGAAATTGGAGATTTTAATCCATTCATGTATAGCAACCCTTGGATTTAATGCAGGCCCAACTGCCTGGATGTTTTATGCACATCTGCATGAAATAGTACTGGGCCTTCAGATCCAGCTGGAACAGGACTTGGAATATTTTTTTGAATGACATTAGACTTCACCTGAAGTGACCAAAAGTGGAGAGTGCAACATCTTAATCCAGACCTAGAGAACATTCAAAATGTAGATTAGTTAGTAAAACTGTGAGACATAAGCATCTGTCTCTGATGCATATAGCGCACTTACAAACTTGCTGTTAGTAACTTGGCTGACTGTCTTGTCTTTCAGGTTTCAGAGAGAGCAGAATGTGTGGGTTCAGCTCTACTTTACAGAGGCTACAAACCAGCTCCAGATCAGTATATAGGAATCTTTGCACAAAACAGACCAGAGGTAACAGGCTCAAATGAGTGACAAAGCCAACTCCAAAAAAAGTCCCATAAGTATACTACCAAACACTGGTTCAACCACCTAAATAGAAGCACGTGTATAGTAGAAGAAGGGTGCTATGATGTAGGCCAACAAAATACAAGTAATATTTGTAGTGGAAACCCATATTTAATGTTCCCTTTCTGAAAATGTTGGGGTCAGATGGCCTGTAAATGGAGATGCATATTACAGGGTAAGGTTACAACAGGGTAATAGTCAACTCAAGACTTAACTCCAGGACATAAATGTCCCCAAGTGAAAAACTGACCTGCTTGCTCTGCTCAGTTGCATTCAACCTCCACTTGTCCTTATTTAAAGCGATAACTTAGTGGCTTAATGTCTAAGGTACTTAGTAATCCTTGCTTAACAAGCACAAATATAACACTTTGGATGGCTTAGTTTCATAAAGTATTATCTCAAAACTGAGCATGGATCTCTGGAGAAATAGTTTAGTCCTCCCAGATATCACAATGTTTGCCCAGAGTATCAATTCATGCTGCTCTCGCATGCAAAAAATGTTAGCAAAATATGGACTCTTCAGTGTTTTGAGCTCTAATGAGCTGAAAACAAGTTGAAGGCTCTTTCAAAGAATATATACTTGGAGCTGTTTAATTTGTGGCGGGGGAGAAGACTGTCTATCTCCTCTCCCCTCCCCACCCCCAACAAAAAACCTTACTTTATGCAGCATCTGCATGTGACATAACTGTTAATAAGATTTTTCAAGAAATCAGGACACCCACATAAGCATCATATTTGTTTTTGTTTTTAAAACATGAGTGCAAGTGTTGGCAAAAGGCAGGTAACTTTTCAAATGTCTTGGACCAACAGGTCCAAGAATTGCCCAAGTCTTTGGGCCAGAACATGGAAAAATAGCAAACATTACAGATCAATAAATGAGATTTGGAAGCTAGATAAATGACATAATTAAACAGGGTCACCTGAATAAGCAGTGAAAAGGAAAAATGATGAGACCCAGATTCTATTTAAGGGAGCCATCAGTTGACCACCTGGTATCCATTTTAAAACACCACATTGCTTCATGAAAGCTAGCATTTTGTATCATAAGCCTTTAAAATGTTAGTTAAAGTGTTCTTTAGACCAGTTAAGTTTGAATTGAAGTTGAACCAGAATATGTTGGAATACCAGAGCTTGCTTGGGCTCCATAAGCCATGTTGCTATACTAGCATGGTACTTGGTATAAGAGGCCACTGTTCTAGTAAGCAGGGCATTTTTAGCTCTGATAAGAGTGCCATGCTGATGAAACTATACTGCTGTACCTTGTTTCTGGTAGCTCAGATACTGCATCTTCATGTAGAAATAACATTTTAAATACTAGCCTTCAGTCTAATAACAAGGCCAGCTTGTTTGAAGTAGAATTAAATTAACAAGCTGGTACAAAACATGTCCTTAAATCATGTATTCATTACTTAAACAAACAACACCCACCCACCCCCCCAAAACCAGAAAAACCCTCATGATTTGGATTTCATAGTAGAGATGAAAATATGTATAACAAAACTGGTTAAGCAGCTTATACAAAAACTCTAGATTCAGGTTGATGCCTGGGTGTCGATATTAAAACTTCCTCCTCATATTTCAAGTGTATAGTGGGTAGTCTTTTTTTCTCCACCCCCCCCCCCCCCCCCACACACACACACAACTACCAGAACTTAGATATGAAGTTTGACTCCTAAACATTCACTTATGTTGTACAGAGAGAATCCCAGGGCTACAACACTATACTTCCATGTCCTAAAAAAGGTATGGAGGAAGGAAGGAAAAGTGAAAAGATTCCTAATAAATGGGTTTCATTGATCACTTCAGCTCTTTTTAGACTGTCAGCCTTATTTTGTCACTTTGGCACTAAAGGAGCCAGAAGTTGATCTGTTAGTGAGAAGTTGTGTGGGAGACTGATCAGTGGCTGGGATGACCTGATTGACTTCTCCAATGTGATACTTTAAGTTAGTGGACTTTGAGGTTTTTAGATCCAAGAATCGGAATTAAGCAGGCATTGCATAAATCTTATAAAAAGCCTTTTTAAGAAAGGAGTACGAAACAGTGTTGCAACTAACACATAACAGGGACTCCTTCAGGAAATTCCCTGAGCTAGTGCCTGGCTTAATCAGTAAATATGGCAATTTTTTCCTAGTTCAGGAAACTTCCAACTCTTTCTAGATGAGCTTAACAAACATACCAGAAAGTTCTGTAGTTTTGCACCTCAGTAACACAGACTACTTCATTAAATCTAAAGAATAAACATGTGAATACTGAAACTTGGTCAGGCAATGGACTGGCTAACTTCCTATGAAGACACTTACATTTTCCTGTATTAAGTCTAAGATTCCTTTCCCCCACCCCTCCTCCTCTCCCTGTGCAGTCCCTAAAGAATCATAGATGCAAGGGGAGGATGGCTTAAAGATGCATGTAGCTTTCTCGGCTAACTGGAATTGGCTAACATTACAGATCTTAAAGGATCAAATTGATGGTGATGGAGCATCGGAATCTTTTTCTCGCTAGTAAAGCCTATCTAAACTTCTGTTGCTGAGGGGGGAAGGGCTTTATCTTTAATTAGATGCTAGTTCAGATACATTCTTCGATTTATAAACTACTGGCTTGGCTGCAACTTGATTTAGAAAGACCATCTGTAGTGTGTCCCTTTAGTAAGCAGGTGCAAAAGAGGGGTTATTTTAATTCATTTGCCTGAACCTTCTTTATCTTATTTATTTTGAGAATCTAGTGCTAGCATTCATGAGTCTTAAAACTCTGCTGTTTGGGACAAGTGACCACATTCTGACCCATGGATTTGTTTTTACTTTTCTTTTTTTCTCTCTATGTAGTGGGTTATCATTGAACAGGGATGCTATGCATACTCCATGGTGGTAGTGCCTCTTTATGATACATTGGGAGCTGATGCAATTTGTTACATTGTGAACAAAGGTATGATATTTCCTGTTGATCAAAATACGAGCACAAGATGACAGACTTTATCTGGTAAAGAGGATTGTAGCCTTATATAAAACAACACTAAGGTGTCTACATAAGAACATAAATGTCGTCATACTTAGGTCAGAGGTCCATCTAGGGCAGTATCCTGTCTTTGACGGAGCCAAGACGGGCTGTTTTAGAGGGAAACTTGAACTGGATACATCTAGTGATCTATACCGTATTCAATACCTTCTTTGGTATCCACCATGTGTTTAGAGATGCCAGAGGAAATGCCTCCAACCATTTTGTTCAATAGCTATTAATCAATTTGTCATCCATAAATTTGTCTAGTCCCTTTTTTATGCTGTCTGCCTCTACCACCTCCTGTGGCAATGAACTCCGAAGTTAACTGCTCCTTGGGTTTTTTCTAGTGGGTGCCCCCTAGTTCTAATATTCTGGGACTTGGTGAAGAACAGCTCCCTGTTCACTTGGTTCATACCCTTCATGATTTTTATGGACCCCTCATCTCCCATCAGCCTTATCCTTTTCAAACTAAAGTCATAGCCTTTTTAATCCTTCCTCGCATGACAATGTTCCAGGCCCCTGGTTACTTCTGTTGTCCTTCTCTGTACATTTTCTACCTTTTCAAATGTATTTATTTATTTATTTTAAACCTAGTATAATATATCCAGACTTATCCTACTAATAGTGTGCTATTCTCCTCTTGAATTCAGCTGACATAGCACTGGTTTTCTGTGACAAATCTGACAAGGCCAAACTTTTGCTAAGTAATGTGGAAAAAGGGGAAACGCCAGTCCTCAACACTATTGTAATGATGGAGTCCTTTGACAATGATCTTGTAGACCGTGGAAAGAAGTGTGGGGTGGAGATTTTCAGCATGAGAGAAATAGAGGTAAGTTATGTACTTTCCCTGCCTTACCATTTCAATCCAGAATCTCCTCTCTAACTACACTTCTTAAAGATGAGCACCTTGTAGAGATTGCGATTTGGGGTCCAATGGAGTAATGATCTTCTTGTTGAATTGGTTTCGAAATACTGAACTTTTTCAAAAAATGAAGGCTAAAGGGTAACTTCTAGGTACACAAAAGAGAACCTTAGCAAATAAACAACTTCCTAGTGGCATTTTGCAATGCTTAAAATGAATAAAAAAAAAAATATTTGCTTAGACAAAAGGTACAAAAACTTAAACTAGTTCAAAGGTAATGCCAGTCTCAGTTGTACCCCCAAGATGTGTGTATTAAATAAGATACAGGGTCAGCAGAATTATTACAGTTCATCTTCTATGACATAACTGCCTTATTTTTGTTGCAATCTTGTGGTAAAAATGGGTTCCTTCTTTAGGGATAGAGACCTAACATCACTAGCCCAAACATTAACACCTTCCAGCTGGTAGTTGCATAAACTGTACTAAAACAACACAATGGTGCACACTAGAACACTCTATTTTCAGAAATAGAAGCCTTAATGACGCTGCTAATACCACATGGAACAAGAGACTATTGTCTTACAGGCCTTCTGAGACCAGGGAAGTAGCATTTTTTCATAACATCTCTGCTTTGAGCTCTGAAGATTTGCACTTTGTTTCTGTTCACTTTCCTTGGATTCAGAATGAAATTGTCCCACAACAGCAGGGGGAAAAGGGGGTTGCTTTTTTTAAAAAGGTATTATGATGATGATGATGATGCCCCCCCCCCCCCCAAAAAAAAAAAAAAAAGCAGCTCAATACTGTACAATGGAACTTTTTGCCTTAGTGACCTGGGAACATACTGAGACCGGTCTTTTAGTATATTTTGTTCAGCCTACAAATAACTTTGGACAGCTAATATCACTTTGATTTAAAGTGTGCTGGTATGCTAAGTGTATTTGATTGGTCTCCTTCATTTTTTTTTTTTTAAATCAGGAAGAGGTAAAACGGTTCTCAGATTTTGGGGCTGTTATAAGCCAATCATATAATTTTGAAGTATGGCAGTGAAGTGACTCTAGTGGTGATTTGTTTATAGAGCACACAAAGCTTTATAAATGTTTGAGCCAGGCAGTAGAGGCAAATGACTCATGTATAAAGTTCTGCTTAAACACTGCGCATACACTACTGCATCTTGCAGTGCAGCCTGTAGTAAACTAAGCCTCCAGTTCCTGGATGACAAATAGTGAATAATTTACCATTTTATTTCAACTCAAACTTAGATGATTTTGAGGCAGTATCTCCTAACTTTCTGGGCAAATACCTAGCCCGAGTAAGTACTCAATACTTCCTCTGTATCCTGAGAGCACAGGTAAGTAGGACTGGAAGGGACCTCCAGAAGGCTAGTCCAACCATCTGTCTGAGGCAGGATCATCCTTATCCAAACTGTCTTGTACAAACCTATTGGCAGATCTACATTCATCACCCTGACACGAAGATGAGACATAACCCCCTAACCTGCTGCAGTGGGCCAACATCTTGCTGCTGCAAAAGTTGTTGAAAATATGCTTGAGAAATCTAAGGAAGAGAGCCATGCCTCCCCTTCCCCTTAAAGGTAAAAGCCCCCAGTCTGTACTAAGCTGACCATGGGGTAAAATTCCTTCCTAACAGCAAATATGTCCATCAGCCTGACCCTGAGTAGAGGGACAATACTCTTTAGCGAGGAATCTGTGGGTTTAAGTCCTAGCAGGAGCATTGGCATACCTCAGTCAAACTCCTAGCCTTGGCTGCAGCCAGAACCCAGTGCTTCTGAGGAAGCTTTGGTGAGGGATAGGGGAGAACCAAGAAAAACAACAAATCCTGACACGTGGCAGGGCAGGGGTGGAATTCTGTTGAAGAAATGTGGGCCACATTTCTCTGATGTGCAGTGTACTAGAAGATGGTTCAGGTCTGGCCCATGTGTGCCTAGTCAATGGGCCAGACCTTCCCATTTTAATGGGAAAGGTCAAGCTCTAAATACTTTTTTTTTTTTTTTTTCTCCTGAAGACTGAAATATTTTTTGTCCCCTGTCTATGAAAGTATTGAGGTTTTTAAATCTCAGTACATGTGTTCAGTAACACCCCTCTTTAGGTCTTCCTAAGTATAAGCTGAAATACTGTATGTCCACTAGAAACGCAACTGCCTTCAGATGAAATCAGCCAAATTCTTAATGAGGTGTGGTTGCCAATCCATAAGAAAACTGTAGACTAAAATATATCATAGCACATAGCCAAGAGAGTGTAGTACCAGTACAGCTAAGGACATCTTAAAGAAACAGTTTCTTCACTAGATCCCTTCTAAGATTATTTCGTACTCTCTCAGGTTGGGCCACTAATAAAAGGTTAAGGCTGGTAAGCAAACATGCTGTACTTCATTCTTGCATTTTTCTAAAGCGGATTAAAGAAACTGAAATGTAGTCAGCCCTCACATCTAAGGCCTCAAATAGTACTTAAATCCTAGATTGTATACAAGCTTGCATTATATGTAAGCGCTCATAAACTTGTTGTTCTTACTTGGAATGTGTGAACTTTCTTAAGCTCATTGGTGCTGAAATTCAGTTCTTGAATCTGCTTTCCTTTTGAGCTATTACATCCTCTACTGGTGAGAGGAAGAACTTCAGGATCAAATTTATCTAGCTCTGAGCCTTTCCAGCCTGAGTTTGCTTCAAATCTGGAAGAGGCCCATAATCAATATGGGTTGCTCCTATAGTTTAGTGAAGTGAAAAGAGATTTTTTTTTTTTTTTATTTCTTTCTTGCAGTGTATAAGAGGAATTGGTAGCTAGTGAGTGTCTGCCTTGTATCAGATTGCTACTTTGTAAAGCAGTGAAAAGAAATTCCGGAAGTAGGAAACTCCATCCTGTCACAGTGACGGGGCTGAATTAAATGAGTTCTAGAGCACAATTAGCCTTTGTAATCAATAGCATGTGTGCTGCTTCTCTTTTTTTTTTTTTTATGTTGGATATTGGCATTACTTGAGACATCAAGGCCTCTCTCCAGTTGTTGATTTCTAGTGTAATAATATAAAGGTTGGAAGTATGTTCTCTGTGAGTCTGTTAGTGCAGATTTAAAACATGTCCTTGTCATGGAAACAAAGTGCAGGAGAATGTAAAGAGCTATCATTTAGGCTGTAGAAAAGGAACCTTTTGGATTAAATGTTGTCAACAGATGCTTACTGAAATATCATATCTTCAGTAAGTTGACCATGGCATCTTTTGTCTTTAGCTTGGTCTGCTAGTTTAGCTGGTACTTCTAGTTCTGTTGCAATAATCAGGGACTTTTTGGTCATTCTATTTTCTACTTCTAAAATGGAAACACAGACTAATCTTAGTCCATAAGTTTTAGATTTCACTTTAGTTTTTTGTCTGTCAAATTATCCAAGGACAAAAGAGCTTGCATAGTCAGTGTTGTTGGTTTGACTGATCTGTGCACCTAGTTTCTGTTAAATTAAATTGGGTTCTATTTATCAGTGAATAGTATCAACTTGAAATGACATTCTTAAAATATATTTGCTCTTAACATCTGGGTCAGTTGAACACAAAACCAAAACATTTGAACCCCCTTCTCTCATTTTTAGGACCTGGGAAGAACTCACAGACAAAAACCTGTGGTAAGTATTGAACTAGTTCAACAGAAAACTGATCTGCATTGCTTAACTCCAGTTGGTTTTAGATCAAACTGTATAGCACAAACTTACCACCTTCATTGTTCAAAAGACTCATTTTTATATAGAAAAATCTTTATACTTATCATAACCATACTAACTACTTTCTTTTAGCCTCCAAAGCCAGAAGATCTAGCAATCATCTGTTTCACCAGTGGAACTACAGGTACACTTAATTGAATTTTGCAGACTCTTATACTGAATAGGCAAAACTTTTATTTGGGAGCAACATTTCTACATGACTCCTGCTGCAGTGTTACTAGCCTACTCTTACAGCTGAAAATGGCAAACGGGTATTGGAGCTCTTTTACTGGATTGGCTAGCGGGGAAACAAATTTCCTGGAGAGCAAAATGAATCTTCAGAACAGACATCAAGGGCAACTTTAACCTACCATAAAATAAGGACTGTCATAAAGTAAAACTAGACAGCTAAATTTTAAAGCCTTTATGCCTAATTTTTTTTTTTTTTAGTTGTAGCTATCTCGTACTTTGGAGTCTACACACAACTTGATTCCATTCTTTAGCACATAACTAGTTACAAGATAACTGAGAAGATGCTGGCCAGATATGCCTCAAAAAGCTCAATGATGATGACTCTTGTCATCAGTATTGAATGGATCCCTTTCCTAAAAGCCTAGAATTTTTTTGGTTGGAGATGAATCTGACTAAAAAGGTTAACAGTCTCCTTGAGTTTGTAGCATTCTAACACCAAAATTTACTGTAGAAACATCATTTTTAATGAATCTTGAAAACAGATTAGCATTTCTCTCCTTTCATTGAATATTACTTAAAATGTCATGTAACTGAATTTGGAGGCTGTGCTTCTAACTAAAGTCCCTTTTGAGCTGTATGTGAGGGTAAATGGTAAAGTTGTTGTCTTTTCAACTTGATGTTTTCTAAGCACTTCTGTTGCATGTCAATGTCTTCCTTTCAGGAAACCCAAAAGGAGCTATGATCACTCATCAAAATATAGTGAGCAATGCGTCTGCTTTTCTGAAATCTACCGAGGTAAACTTCAGTGCTAAAGTAATTGCCCCCTCCTCCCCAATTTCTTCTTCTTTTGGGTTAGTGGAAGCATTTTTAGGTGTCTAGTATTACAAATGTTTCTCGCTCATTACTTCAGGCTCAAAGTCTCTATAAGATGTTACAAAACTGTCATCTTGTGCAGGTGAGATTTTGATAAGCTTGTTTTTTTTGAAGTCCTGGGAGACAACCTCCTAAATGTTCCTTCTTGCTGCTTCTGTTTATCTCACCAATGGTGGTGGTAGGCTGATCCAGACTTAAACAAAGCAATAACAAAAAAGCTTGACCTGGTGACTGATGGAGAGGTCAGTAAATAGAGTTGTGGAAGGGATTTCTAGGAGATTTTGAGATCCTTAACTATAAGGTTAGGGAATAGGAAGATAATGGTAGTGCAACAGCATTAGAGTTAATTCAGAGGAGACCAAGATTAGCAGAAGCAGGAGTAGTGAAACGCATATAATCTGAATTGGGTACAAGGCAAAGCCTTGATATGAAACATTTGACTAGAACTCTTGGAAGAGAAGATGCAGGAACTGGAGATGCAGCTGGAGAAGGAATTAAGTTGGTTTGAGGACTGGATTGAGGAAATCTGATAATTTCAATAGTATAGAGTATCATGCTCTCTAGGGACAAGAAAGAAAGACGGGAGAGGAGGTTATGGTAGATTATTGCTGAAATAACTGAGCTACCAATGAGATGGTCATAGAATCACATGAACTATTTTGGGGTGTATTGGGCATGATTTCAGTAGACATATAAATATGGTGGCATTGCAAACCTATTGAGAGAATCTTCTTCAGAAAGAGATGAATTTGAACTGGCACCACAGCTGCAAAAAGCTGCTAGGATGATAGGCTTTCCATACCCCCTTCCCTTGTTTGGAGGAGTTTAAAAGCTTTGATTAGAAATTCTCTCCTTTCATTGAATCTTATTTAAAACACTATGCGATTATGATTTAGAGGTTGTGCTTCTATTGAAGTCCCTTTCAGGCTTATGTGAGGATAAATAGTAAAGTTGGATAATGGAAGCTGAAAGGGAGCATGATTTGCTGTCTAGAAATGTGTATGGGAGTGAAAAGGGTAGGAAACACCAGAGGGGAAAAAACTACTTAAGCTGAGGTATCTTGGCACAAGAACAAATGGTATAAAACAACAGTTTTCTTATTCATGGCTAGAATTCCAAAGTTTCTAACTCAGTGACTGTTCTTGAACAGTTTTCTAGAAGGCAGCTTTAGGATGGAGTCTGTTCAAAACGTGGGTGGGGTTAGTTATGACACTGCTACTTGCAATAGCAGTGGACTAGACTGACCTAGAAGTTCAGTTAGTCTCATGTTGGATGTTACCACATGGGTAAAAAAGTAAACTGTTAATGGACATTGAGATCCCACAGTCTGCAAGTAAAAACTGGGTGTCCTGGAAAAGAACAAACCATTTCGGACTATAAACTTCTGAACTGTTGTGGTACTGTATCTATGGTAAGTTAGGCTAAATAGAAGACTGGGTTTTTGGTTTGTTACTCTTTAGAGCACATGACCATAATTTGGTTATTGAAAACAAGTATAACTTTTTGTGGCTTGTACAGTTCCTTTTGATGCTCGACTACTATTTAATTTTATGAAAATGATAAGGAAACAAATAATTCTGAATGGCTGCTGTGCATGCTTCTCAATACTAATAATCTAAAAAACTTTAAAAAAATAAGCACTTAAATATCCCAGAACTATTTGGGGTTTCTTGATGCAAAGTATGTAAAAGCCAAAGACTTTGGCAAATAAACTGTATTTGACTTGTTATCTCTTATTGAGAAGTATGTCAGTATGTACTTGTACTAATTGTAAACATGAAGTTTTAATTTTCACATTAATTTGATCTCTCTTTTTCCTATCCTCTTGGCACTTTCAATTGCAGAATGCATTTGTTCCTTGTCCAGATGACATTTTGATCTCATTCTTGCCTCTGGCCCATATGTTTGAGAGAGTTGTGGAGGTAGGCATCTATGTACTAGTACATAACTATTCAGAAACTTATTTCTTTACAGAGTGCGTTTAGTCTCAACGAAAGTGAAACACACATTTCCTATTTGCCTCTTGCACATATGTTTGAAAGAATGGTGCAGGTAAGCCTTTCTAGAAAGAAACAAAAATGTATCTAGTTAACAGAGTATTGGGCATTAATTTCCACATGAAGTACAACTTTAGCCTCCAAGTTATTGAGAAACTTGCGTAACAAAATTGGAGTCTTTTCTAGAATAATAGTTTAACTATCTGGAATTCCTTACTAGCAACTGTGTTGTCAGTAGAAGTCTTTGCTGTTGGTTTATTTCAGGGGCAGGCAAAATATGGCCCATGGGTTGGATCCAGCCTGCTAGACCATCCTATCTGGCCCACAGGGCTGCCCCCCCACCTCCCCCCCCAAAAATCTTAAAATAATAATATTTATCTGCCCATGACTGCCTGTCAAAGATGCCAGGAGCTGGCGGCAGCAGGACCTGATGTCAGCACAAGCAGCAAGCCCCCCTCCCCCCAGTTAGAAGCCACTGCATTAGCCACGGCTCCTGGCCTGGGACTGTTCCCTGCCTCCCTCTGCCCAAGGGGGAAACTTGGGTAAGAACAGGCGGAAGTGGGGGAAGATCGCTGGCGCAGCAGGAGCCAGCTGGGCCCAGCCGGCACCACATGGTTCCCAGCTGGCAACCATGTGGTGCCAGCTGGGCCAGGCTGGCTCCTGCTGTACCACATGGTCTTGGTCCTGCAGCCAGAACCGTGTGGTGCTGGAGCTGTGGGTGGGGAGTGATTGGTTGGGGAAATGGTGATGGTGGGAAGGAAAGTGGCAAGGGAAAGGCAGTGGGGGAGTGGCAGTGGGTAGGAGTGTGGGGCCCCAGGGGTCAGGTCTAGCAGCAGCAGGAGCCAGCTGAGAACCACAGGGCCAGGCTAGCTCCTGTGGTGTTTTGCGGTTCTGGTGTTGCAGCTGGGAACCGTGCACTGCCAGGAGGTGCCCGGCTGGGCCATTCAGCTCTGTGCTGCGGTGCTTGGCTGCCGGCTGCAATGCTGGGACCACAGAGTGCAGCAGAAGCCTGCCCGGTCCCGCAGTTCCCAGCTGGCTCCTGCTGCTGCCTCTACTGTGGCGTGCCTGTAGCTCCCACACTGACACCAGGCAAGCCGTGCACTGGAGCTGGCTGCCTTCCCTGCCCCCTGCTGTGCAGGTCTGCGGACTCCAGTGGGAGTGGAGGGAGATCCACCCCCTGCTTCCCCCGTGTGAGGGCAGGAGCTGCAGGCGTGCACCATAGAACCCCTGCGATAGAGGCAGCTGGGCAGGCTGCATTCCTCATGCCCGCACACAGCTCTGGCTGGAGCTGTGCCCTGCCCAGCGTTGGTGTCTGCACCAGGCACAAGCTTCCTGCCAGCCATGGGGGCTGCCCACCGTGTGTGTGGGATTTGGGGGGCGGATGTCCACAAATTCCTTGCACCCATGCTCTGGCCCTACAACCCCTACCTACTTGCCTACCTACTCTATGCCCCCAACACCCTCTGCTCCCTCCACACAATATAAGAGTAAGACTTTATTTTGAGTTATGGACTGCCTTCTAGAAAGAGTACACAAATCCATTACAAATATTTTGTAATAAAATTAAAATGTTATAGTAAGTGTTTTGACTCTTGTACACTTAAAATTCCTGGTTCCAAGATGGCAACCACTCTTCCCTGCCTTTTTTTTCTCCTCCCCCCACCAGGAGTACTTCTGGGGACAAGGGGAGGGACTTCTGGTGGCAAAGGTTAGGGGACAGGACTTTCAGTCCAAATATGGCTATCAGAGGGGCAAGGCAACTGTCAAGGGGCAGGGCTACCCATGTGGCCCTCAACAGCTTGCCAAAACTCGTTAAGTGGCCCTCCATCTGAAATAATTGCCTGCCCTGCTGTACCTTTTTTCACTGTTGTATTACTATTCACAATAAAGCTGGTTTAAAACAACCTCCATTTTCTAGAATCATTGGAAGGATGGGAAGAGCTTGCTTGTCCATTTATGAGTACAAGTACTTCATCCTTCCAAAAAATGGTGGCTTGAATTGGTGGCTTTTTCCTTTTAACTGAACTAGCTTTCAAACCCATGCCAGAACCAAAAAGCTTAAAGCTTCTCTGTATTTGACAAGTATAAACTAAGTGCTTTCCCTCATTGGTGAGATCTAGTATAGTAACTCATAAGAAATTAACAAAACCTGAACAACTTGGATCATTCAGCAATGGAGAAAAATGCATGGGAAGGTACACTTCCAGTCAGACTATTTTTTTTTTTTTTTTATACTACTCGCTCATGCATATAGTTAAGATATCCTGTTACCTTTTTATTCTTTTTAAAAGGTAACAATATCTGGATCTTATTTGGGTCTAGAATTCTTGCACCTGCCACACTAGTGATACATTGATCACTGCCAGAGCTGGCATAGGCTTAGTGGCTGGGAAAAGTGAGTTAGCTAAGGTTTTTCCCATGCCAGAATGTCAGTAGTCTTTCCTACCATATTTCATTCTACTGTATCTAGGTCTCTGATTTATCCCTACAGTTGCCACATCTCATGCTGTTTCACTTTTTTTTTTTTCTGTCCTATCACAAACATGGGGTGTTTTTACACCTGCTACAGGAAGGCAAGGTGAGATGCAAGCTCTAATTAAAGTGCCTGCAGCATCTCGTGTATCAGTGTCCCCATGCTTCAGAATGGTGGCTGGGGTGCTCGTTGAACAAGTTTGTAGTTAAAGCACCCCCACTTCCATTTTTTGAAGCATGGCAATACTGATGCACGAGATGTGGAGGCTGGCTGGAGTGTGCTAATTGCCTAATTGGCATGTTCCAGCAGAGTTGATTAATTGATTCTGCTGTGACATGCAATAATACAGCATGTCAGAGTAGCCTCCCTGCATATGTACAGGTATCCTAAATGCTTGAGCTTTGACAGTTCTCCTAGAAGTCTCCTCACAGCCCTAACTCTTAGAGGGGGCAGAGTCTACCTTATTCCAAATGTGTTCAAACAGAGCAAAAGTACTGAATCGCTTGTCTAATCTGTGTCCATGTAATTTTTTTTTAACAATCTTAACAGTGTGTGATTCTGTGCCACGGAGGTCGAATAGGATTCTTCCAGGGGGACATCAGACTACTTATGGATGACTTAAAAACACTGCAGCCAACAGTTTTTCCTGTGGTACCAAGACTTCTGAACAGGATGTTTGATAAAGTAAGGTTTTTCTAGCAGGAGGGAAGGGTGTGGTATGTGTTTTAGCAGCATTATCTAAAACCTGACTAAACCAGGGGTCTCTACAACCTGTGGCTCATGGAACCATCTTATCTGGCCTGCTGAGCAACTAGGGCTTCAATGACTGGCTGGGGAATTCAGCAACCTGCCTCGGACCTGAGCTGGATTGTTTTGTGTGGCAGGCAGAAACATTTGTCAGCTATTGGACTAAACTAAACACTGACTTGGAGACAGCTGTATTGATACTGTGTTGTAAGCTTGTTAGCTGCCAAATTGGAACGGTCTGATCAAAGATTTAAGAGCACAGATTTAAAATAAATACTTTTTAGAAAAGCATTAAGAAAATGCCTTGCATTAGAGCTTGTAGGGAGGCACCAGGTGTTACTGAACATGAGATGGGATTAGGAGTAAAACTTGGGTTGTGACTTGCCGTATGGTATTTAAATTATTTATTCTCAGACCTTGTGTATATTGCAGCACCTCACTAGGTGCCTATCTCTTAGAATGGAATTTAATCAAATCTGGGTTGGGGAGCTGAAGTGCCCAAGAGGGGCTGCTGCTAATCCATTCCACCTCAGTAGGAGGATAGCGAAGATGGCAGTTAGGAAGCTCTGAAATCCTGCATTTCTGCTGGACTTAGACACCAAATTCAGGGCTGCGGGTAGGTGGCCATGAGAGAGTTTTGAGGAGACTTCTTCCAGGACTTTAAAGGTGTGATTTCAGTGTCTTGGTATGGACAAGTGACTTACTGGCTTTAGTACACGGGTAGAGGTGGTAGTACCCCACGCTTGTGCTCTTAAGGTAAGACTGTCTAGCAAATAGAAAACACATAGGTTCAGTGCTTTCTTTAGTCTAAAAGTGATCAGTTCCTGCCTCTTGGGGAAGGCTGTGGTGGGAGTACCCTACCCTTCCAGTTAAAGCTATGCTACTAAGCTGCTCAGAATGCAAGGTTCATGGCTCTTGAAAGAGCAAGCACGTCTAAATCTAACTTGGTGAGAAGGGGTACTCCAAGGATGGAGAGGGATGATGTGTAGTTGAGTGTCTAGTCATGCTCCTGGGGTTTAGGTTGTAGCCGTGTTGGTCTAAGGACATAGGCAGACAACTGACTCCCCAGCCCCTAGCTTCTTTACTTTTCATTCCATCCAGGAAGAGCGCACACCAACTGCTGAAACTTCCTTAGCCTGACGAAAGACTTTTTGAACCCGAAAGCTTGCTTAATAACTATTCTCCAGCTATTTGGGTTGGTCTAATAAAAGATATCAAATTCACCCAAGGAACCTTGTCTGCCTAATCATGCTCCTTGCTTTGTTCTTTTGGCCCCATGAATCTTTCATTCTTCTGCACAGTGGCACAGCTTCAAGTGGAAGCTCTTTACCATAGCCTCTACTCTAAAAAGGAGACTTAATTTCTAGAGAAACATTCTAATCGCTACTCTGTGAAATCTGGGCGCTGTCTCTGAAGCAGCGTGTGGTTTGTGTTGCAAAAGGAATTGTCTGTGGCTGCCATACTGCTTGCTGAATTCAGTGCCACTGGCAAGTTGGCATATATAGAGCAGGCTTATCAGGTAAAGTGTCCTTTCAGTCAAGTTCCAAGGGGCCCAGTTTGTGCATCCCCAGTAAGCTTGGGCATGAAAGGAATGGAATTGATCAAAACAGCTAAGGTAGTGGCAGTTCTGGACACATTGAGTAGTAGAAGTTAAGGTGCCTTTATGGAACCCTTTTGGATTTGGAGTGCCTAAGCTAAGCATAAGTGTTGTTGTGTCTCTGGGCCTGAATCTCCTGCTTTGTCCCAGGTACAAAACTTGTGTATGAAGGTTTGAGACTTGTAGCTTAAAACATACCCCAAAGAAGCCTGGTTTTCTAGGCTCACTAGGCATTCTATTCTTTCCATTTTTTATGGTAAGTCTACAAAACTTCTAATGTGAGATTTAACTTTTTGTTTTTCATGCTAGATTTTTGGGCAAGCCAATACATCATTGAAACGGTGGATACTAGACTTTGCTTCCAAAAGGAAAGAAGCAGAACTTCGAAGTGGTGTAGTTAGAAATAACAGCCTGTGGGATAAGTTGATCTTCCGCAAAATACAGGTATATTTATTTCTGTTAGTGTATTGGAGATCTGTAAAACTGCAGTTCTGAGCTAGAATTGCAACAGACATAGAAACTAGTTTTCAATTTGAAGTAGAATAGTCTGGTTACAAATATGCCCATGGTATAGCATAGGATAGCAGAGTAACTTTTGCCATGTAAGTGGTCTTGTACTATAAGGCCTTATTGTCAAATGTGAAGCTTATAAAAGACCCGATCTGTTAAGGGCCCTAAAATCATTTAATGGCCCTACATCTCAAAAGCCCCTTCTAATTTAAGCTGTTATAATCAGTCCATAACTTATTCTGAGTGACTTATCCTTTAGCTAGACTGTAAGAATCCAGATGCATTTGCCTGTCTTTCTTCTTGTTCAGTGAAAAGGTGTGTGACGTCAAAATTGACTTGCTTTTGCTGAAGGCATGCCCAAATTGGAGTGTTACAAGAGGACAAAGCATGTCAAGATGACCTCCCCAAGAATTGGATTCTAGATGTGGAAAATGTATAAATGTTTGATTTTTAGACCTACATGGAAAAGTTATAATTATTGTTGGGGGTCATCCTAAATTTGCCTCTTTGCCCCAACCATTGCAGCAGGAAAATAGTGGCAGGAAAGCAAATGATGGGGAAATTGGAGCGGACAGTCTTAGGGTGGTGGGAAGGCAAGCTCTGTGGCCACCTCCCACTTCAGCTGCTGTCTCCAGCTGATCTGGAGGGGAGGCCCAGAGCTGCTCCTGCCCCATAGTTCAGGGAGTAGCTGTACTGGGAGCCTGGCTCACCTGGGGACACTATATCAGCAGCATGCAGACTTCCTCTTCCTGCCTGGCTTTCTACCCCTGTACCCCCTGCTAACATGGAGCAGGCTGGAAGGAGGAACTATTACAGCTGCTTCTTGCATTGGGGGTCAAAAGCAGCACAACTGCTCCCCCCAACTCCCACCTGGAATAGTCTGACAATCCCCTTCCACTC